TATTTAAGTATATAAATTATATTTAAAATTAATATATAAATATTTTTATATTTTAAATTTATGATAAATAATTTATATTATAATAAAAAAAATTATTTTTATTTATTGATAATTTATTTTAAAATATTAATATTGAATTTATAAATATTTATGATAAATAAAAATAGAATTAGATAAAATAAAAATAAAAATAAAGATCTTACAAATCCTCTCATTAAAGAAAAACTCTTAAAATCACTTTTGCACAAAATAAAATTTATAGTTAATATATAAGAATTGATAAAGTCTCTATTTTTTTTTTTATTGAAAGACCATAATAAATTACTCATAATTTAGCTTGAACAACTCTAGCTTACAAGAATAATCAAAAACAAATTTGTTAAGATGATCTCAATCAATACTTTTCACAAGAGTGTGTATGATTTGCTTATATCATCTCATCACAATTGAGTTTGTAACATCTGGTTGGAGTCTTAACCTACCAATGTGAAATGTCACTGATCAAGTTAATTTACCATAAATTCTTTGATCTTAGTGTTTAACATACAAGACTAATTTTTTTAACATAATTAGTTTTTATAATGGTTTCTTTAATACATTTTTAACTAAATATAAAATAATTAATATAACCTACATTAATATATGGAAACCAAAAGTAGTTACTAGTTAGTGCAACCCTAGAGATTTGAGAGTGTTTTATAAGTGTTGTCATCATACACAATATAAAATGACGCTCAACAACAAATATATCGACACTTACATTATTAGAGAACGTATCAAAATCCAATACTTACTATTAAGCGTAAATTGTATAATCTTATGAAACACATTGAATATACTTGTATTCTTTAAATATTTCACCTTGAATATAGAGTTGTAATTGAAAATATTGTTTTGCCTTTTTAAGAGTTCACCCATTGAAAAAAAAAAAGTTATACCACCTTGTTAAATAAAAAACATATATACATAATGTATGCTATAAATATCATGTATATTTTATTAGATTATTTTATTTAAATTATGTTTTAAAATTTATTTAATTAAAAAAAGTTAAATTTAGGGTTAAATTATATTTTTAATCTTCTTATTTATTTTTAAAATTTAATTTAGTCCTATTTTTATAATGCCCAATTTATTCGTTTAATCTTTAAAATATATTCAATATCATCCTTTCATTCAAAATAGCACTAAAAAAATTAATGAAATTAAAAACAAGAATAACATTGACCATTTTTTTTAAATTGGAGAACCAAATTGAATATTTTATAAATAAGATCAAATTGAACATTTTAAAAGTAATAGAACCAAATTAAATAAAAATTTATCTAACATTTTTTGTCTAAATAAATTTGAATTTTCTTTTACTTACCTTAACAAGATTATGAATGATAACAAATTGAGTACTAAGAATTGAAAAAAAAAACCTCACAAAATAAAGGAGTTATCTAATAAAATAAATTATTAAATAGGTAAAAGAAAATTCAAATTTAGCTAGACAAGAAAATATTAGACAAATTTAATCAATTTAATTCCTTTATTTATAAAATATTCAATTTGATCTTACTATTTTCAAATAATTTAATTTGGTATTCTAATTTTCAAATGATATTCAATGTTGTCCATTTGATCTTATTAATATTATTAGTGTTAATTTGTGCGAAAGGATAATATTCAATATTTTTTAAAAATTAAATAACTAAATTAAATCATTAAAAATTAATAAGATCAAATTGAATCTTAAAAATAAATAAAGAAATTCAAAGTGTAATCTAGTTTAAATTTAATTACATGAACAACATATTTTTTTTATTTTATATTTCTCATTTTATAATTTCTAATAAATTTTGAAGTTGGTTTGAAGAATTATATTAAAGAGGAAACGCTATCCCTCTTGTTCCAAACTACAGATAAATTTGAGTTATTAATAGACAGCCATGTGAACAGTAGCAAGTGATTGACAATAAAGAAAACACTTTGGAGGAAACAAATGTAGATTTTCCAAAGGCTTGAAACTGTATTTAGCAGGCTGAATTTGTCACTTGAAACTGAGTTAGCAGGCAGAATTTGTCCTTGGAACAGAAATTTTCTAAAAGAACACAGCCATGAATGTGTTTTACAATTTTGTTTTATATCTTAGGTTGGATGTAAGACTAATCCTTAAAGCCCCTCACCACATCTAAAAATTTGGTTTTAGCTCTTTTACCGCCACAAGGCTTCATGCCAAACCAAGAGATAAGGTTTGCTCATGAAAATCTGTGAGCAATGCTTAACAATTGCAACAATCAATTGGATTTTCTATCTACAGAGGCTTCAGTGTGTCTTATGTTAAGAGTGCCAAGTAGTCCTCGTCCTCTAGCATGTTGTTCCAACTCTTCGATCTTCAGTGCAAGAAGTTGAATTTCTCTGGCCAACTCTTCATTCCTCATGCTTATTGACTGCAAATTAACAAAAAAAAAAGTGAGTACATCCTTGAAATTTAGAATATTTTTGGTCCCTCCAAAATAATTATGTAAGTAAAACTTAAGCCCAGAAGAGGGGAAAAAGACAAATTTAAAACCTCCAACATTCATAGTATTTAGAGAAAATAAGTGGACTACAAGAAGACCAACTTTGCTTCAATGAAATCCCTCCATAATTTATCCCCACACCAGAGAAAGGCAGAAAGACAACCTGTAACTCCTGTTTACGTAGTTCTTCCTTTCTAGCTTCTGATCTTGAACTTCTTTGCACCTCAAAGATGATGGCAGCTCCTGCAACCTAAATAGAAGGAAATAAATTTAGATGCAAATACTCTTATATAGTTATTAGGAAGAGCATTCGATGATGGAAGGAAATTTGATAGATGGTAGAGATGAAAAACTCTTGGCATGCTATTTATTCATCGTGAGCAAGAAGGAAACAGAATGAATTTGAACATATGAACCAAAGATCATATGAATAATTTGACAAGCAGAAGAACTGGAAATGCTACAAACTATAGGAAGTTCTCACATATATGAACAATATTCAGTTTAAATAAGAAGTTAAATGGGATAAATAGTCAATCAAGTTCACACAGGTCATCAAAAGTTCAAAGCATATGTTAGTATGGTAGGCATTAAACCTAAATGTTACCATCCACTCAGATATTTCTTGGTTAATACATTATAAAGCCTAGACATTGTAGAAAACTTTTCCACACCCTCAAATAATATATGTTAAATCTTGTGGTCTGGTTTAAATCTTTTTCTTCCTTTTTTGCTAGACAAGGGAAGTCCACTGAGAACCTAGCCTATACAAGATAAGAAAAGCTCTTAGGCATTGGAAAAGTCTATGCACAAGAGGAGCTTAGACAGCTGTTTGTAGATTAGCTTATACAGTTGATGGGAGCTTATTTAAAATTCCATAAACACTCCCTCTTAAAACATCCTAGCATAACCTCAATTTAATAGCACAGGTAAATAAGATGCAAGCTCATAAGAAAGGATTTCTGTGCAATGAATAGCATGGCCTTTTATTATTGATGATCCCAACAAAAAATTGATCTAAGGAGTCTCTGCACTGGCTGGATTTATTAGCCCAGTTCCCAATACCATATGCATATATTTAAGGAAGGATAACTTTTCCCTGCCATATATGGTTACATAATTAATTGCACAATTTGCATTCCCTGTAAAAAAACAACTAAATAAGTATATGTAGTATATAAACTAAGGACAACTGAAAAGAATAATGATCGAAAGAGTTGGGTAGTTTCATGAACAGAATTGCCATTTGCACATATTCAAATGGTTCTCAATGTTCTTGAATATTGATCGAGATGATTCTTATTCAAATAAAATATAAGAATTCACAAGTTAGAGATATAAAACACTTTTCAGCCTCCACCTAATTAGTTGGAAGACAAGTTGTAATGCAGTTACAATTCTCATGAACCAACTATTCCAAATGTTTAATCTGTTGGGTGATGGCACTTAACTGGCTTTCTATCCAACATAACCTCACATGCAAAAGCCTTTGGACTTGAAGTCTGGACAATGCGCAGGGCTATGTTACCTTTTGCTAAAAATTTAACTGTCACTTAGAAGAATATGACAACATGGATCGTACGCAACACAACACGATTAAAAGGACCCTAAAACCATGTCATAAACTAAGTATCCCTAAAGCTTAAGTAATTAAGTGAAGGCACATAAATGGTTTTATATCCAACAACACATTCATTTCGTGAAAATCACAACTAAGAGTCATTAGAAAAAAAATGGTCACATCCAGGTGATAAATGGGGGCCAAACAGGTGAATTTCAAAAGATGGTACACGACCGTAATTTCAACTGCAACACCAACACCAACGTTTTTGAGCATTTGTGACTTCAACACAACTCCAATCGTGGTTGTATTTATCCACAATATCTCGCAATATCAATAAAAGCAACGAAACTGCGACTGCAACCACACTAGTAGCGTAAAAAATGATCATGAATCATGACACCTCTCCTAGTTACTAAGATGCGTGTCATTTTCTCAAGATGAAGGCAAAATAATTATTCCACCAAGCACAATGATGACATTGTGCTGGAAAGCCGTCTTAGTGTGTTTGTATAGGCATTTGCACATTCGTTACACACTTTCCAATGAATCAAACATGACTGAAAATATTTTATGGATTGACATTGAAAAGACTCTGAACGTTTTCGCAAACAGACCTTTACTCTTAGCCAACCTTACCTTAGATGCAACCTCATTGGGAGCTAGCCTGAAGGGTGGTGTTTGGTGTTAGAATAGTGGATTAAGCCTAACTCAACCCTACAAAACCGGCTTTTAAGGTGAGGGTTGCTTTTCACTTATATACTATTCAATTGCCTAATCTCTAGTCGATGTGGGACTTGGGTTTTTCCCAATACACCCCCTCCCTTTTTAATGATCTAGGATTGGCGGGACTTGGATTTTTCCCAATACACCCCCTCATGCCTGTGAGGCATGCATCAATGGTGGGTGGCCCATTTTTAAAGTGGATCTAAATGGCTCTGATACCATGTTAGAATAGTGAATTAAGCCTAACTCAACCCTACAAAACCGGCTTTTAAGGTGAGGGTTGCTTTCCACTTATATACTATTCAATTGCCTAATCTCTAGTCGATGTGGGACTTGGGTTTTTCCCAATACACCCCCTCACGTCCAGCACTATTTCCCATGGTATCAGAGCCATTTAGATCCACTTTAAAAATGGGCCACTCACCATTGATGCATGCCTCAGGTGTGAGGGGGTGTATTGAGAAAAACCCAAGTCCCGCCAATCCTAGATCATTAAAAAGGGTCACCCACCATTTATCCACGTACCAAGCCTGCGATAGTGCTGGACGTGAGGGGGTGTATTGGGAAAAACCCAAGTCCCACATCGACTAGAGATTAGGCAATTGAATAGTATATAAGTGGAAAACAACCCTCACCTTACAAGCCGGTTTTGTAGGGTTGAGTTAGGCTTAATCCACTATTCTAACATTTGGTCCACATAGATTAAAAATATGATTCAAGAACATGTTTTGGAAAAACTTTTTCATAAACACTTAAAAAAAAAAAAAATAGAAAAGAAAAAAATAAATTTCTCCATAAGATAAAATTAACTTATGCTTATACTAATTTGTAAAAGTTCTCTCATATTAGTTTCTCCAAAAACTTATTTTAACTTATGCATAAGCTAATTTTAGTTTATGAAAAAATTTATTTCATTTTTTTCCTCCTAAAAGTATTTCTGGAAACGTTTATCCAAACATGTCTCAATCAGAATTGGTTTTATATAATTAAGTTAATTAAGTTCAAACCCAAATTTTATGAATTTCAATTTGTTTAGATACAAACTTAAGAGTAAATTTTGAGAACTTCTCTACTAAAAATAATTATTTTTTTTCCATAGAAAAATCCATGAGAATCAGTTCTAACTTATATCGAAATATACTAATTTTTACTATATAGACTAATGACACTTGAATTCCAAGCGTGTGGTTCAGCGGTAGGGGTTGATCCACGCTTAAGCAACGTCAGGGGTTCGAATCGTGTCTTGTATATGCAATTGCGTTAAATCTTGGGATTAACTATCTCATCATTTAAGGTGCCTCTAAACTAGCCAGGAAATTAGTCACTGTTATCAACGGTGGATACTCCAGGAACGAACAAAAAAAAAAAAAAACATACAAACAGGTAGAAGGCAATTCATGACAAGAGTAGTAAGAAGCATAGCATAAAGTTATGAGTACCGAGAACACAAAGAGCTCTCCAAGCAAATCCGCCGCCGCTTGCACAGCCCTCTCCTCGTTGAGAGGGCGGATGGCAACGCCAGTGTCACGGCCGTAAATCCTTCTCTGCACTCTCGTCGTCAGCCTGTGGTTGGCCTGAGACACAGAAGCAGAAGCACACGTGTGAGCGGTGCGAGCGCGAGGGTGAAGAAAGAAGAGAGAGAAAGGGAAGGGAAGGACCTGGGCGATGGCGATGATGAAATTGCGGAACTTGGGGTGGTAACCGGCCTCCTTCTTGAGCCTGTTGGCGATGGGTTTGCAGGCGGTTTTGAGGGCGAGTGTTGCCAGCTTCACCACGGGAAGCACCACCATTCTCGTTTCTCCAGCTCAGACTGAACTACGAATCAAGCTAATAGTGTGCTGCTACTTTTCAATCCTCTCTGCGTCTGCGTGTTTCTTTCATCAGGGCATCTTTCATTTTTTCTTGCTCCACAAGAACTTGGAGACATCAGTAGAAAAGTAAGGAATAAATAAACAACGTACATACGTTGGACAAGTGTAGTAGTAATAATTATCGCTTCCTATTTAAAGTTTTTAATTATATCTTTTAATTATATTATATTACTGTAAATACATTTATTTTTAACAATAACATGATATATTAATTGTGCTATGTTATTGTAAATACATTTATTTTTAACAATAATATAATATTTTAGTTGTGTCATATTATTGTAAACACATTTATATTTAACAATGACTTATAATGACATGACACAACTAAAAAATATAATTAATTATTAATGTAAATAAATTTTATACCGATAGTATATAAGTGATTAATTCTTTTTTTTAAGAGTCGTAAAATTTTGTTTAATATTTCATTTTTTTTACAAGTAAATTAATATAAAATTAATTAAAAATATTATATTTTTGAGTGATATTATAAAATAATAGTAATTAAAGAAAATTACATTCATACTCATTGTAATTTTTTGAAATTAAATTCAATACTCCTTTCTTATTTGACATTTATTTATTTATTTTTTTGAAGAAATTTCGTTAAGTGATAGTAGCAATTTAAAATTATATATAATAAATTTTATATATAAATAAATATTTTTTTAATACATAATAAAAATATGTTTTATATAAAGTTAAAAATAAAAGATAAAGATATAAAATATATAAAATTGAATTTATAATTCTAAAATTTAGCTCTTCATAAAAAAAATTAAAATTGATACATTACATTAACAAATTAAATCCACGAATCCCATTTAATAATTTTTTTCGGAGTGAATTAAAGATTAAATTAAATCATATGATGACCAAAAACCTCAAACAAAACCCTGAAGTGAAACCTAAAAAACGACAGGGTATCACCGAGGGCACCGTCGTGTCTTAAAGGAACCCTTCTCTTCCATCGTTCACTGCGCCGCCCCTACTTCTTTCACTTTGCAAACCAAACGACGTCCTTCTTCGTGTCGTCGCAGCCTCCACCGTTGAACCCCTGCACCTCGAAACGACACCACCGGAACAGAACCCTAAAATTTTGGTCCAACGATGGAGCACGGTGGCGAGCTCGTATGGCAACTTATCAGGCACGGTCATTGCAGTTTTATGGCCAAGTAAGTGCCTTTCTTCTGATTCATGGTTTTGTAATTTTGATGTTACTGTCACGAGCTCAAACCAATCATTCACTTTTTATCTTTTGTAGAATTACGACGGGGAATTTTTGTAGAAACCCTTACAACGTGACTGGGGTTTGTAACCGAAGTTCTTGCCCTTTGGCTAATAATCGCTATGCCACCATTCGAGAGGACAATGGTACTTTTGCTTACAAGCACTTTTTTTTTTTTTTTGGTTTTTCTGGGTTAGGTTTTGGCTTGAAATTGATGCTCAGTGTTGAAATGCTTGTGGGTGTGAATGAAACTTCACGCCTTGGTTGAGTTGAGGTTAATGTTTGGTTCTTTGGTGAACCCGCTAGAAGACGGGTTATTGAGGCCCTGTAGTAAATTGTCTTTGATGTCTCACTTTGTTTGTGCTTTTTGATTCTTCATGTGTTCATATGGAATAATTTGGTCGGGTTCTGTTGTGTGTAATGTATACGTGATTAAGGGATGGGGTAAACATCTTAAATGAGTGCCTATTTAACCAGAGGTTATTATGTGCAAATTTTACGTCATGGGTGCTTAATTCAACGAGCTTAGTTTAATAAGCTTCACCCTAAAGTCATTTTCCTAAATTAACTTTAATTTTCTGCTTAAATAGTAAGATAAATTCAAATGGAATCTCCCAAACAAACACCTAATGGTTATCCTGATGAATGGCAATTGCAATAAGTGGGGTATTCATGGCAGAGTATGGAAATAATCATGTGATTGCATTGGGTGCTGCAGGAGTGTTTTACCTTTACATGAAAACCATAGAAAGGGCTCATATACCAAAAGATATGTGGGAAAAAGTAAAGTTGCCTAGGAATTACGAGAAGGCACTTGAAGTCATAGACAAACATCTGGTACTGTGGATCTATGTAGTCTTTTCCATATTTAAATATTTGCTGTTTTACTGGTTAGTGATTGTCGAGATTGGATGTGCATTTGACCTTTCTACTTTGGCAGATGTATTGGCCCAAACTTTTGATACACAAGATAAAGCAACGCTTGACCAAAATGACCCAGATGCGGATACGTATGAGGAAACTTGCTTTGAAGACAAGGTTTGAAATCAAATTCTCCTTTACATTTTGTTTTATCATGTCAAGCAGTGTCTAATTTATCTGTAAGAAACTTGTTCTCTAGGTGCTCTGAATTTCATGTTGTTTGATTCCTGTATGTTGATTCTGAACGTTTGAATAACCAATCTGATGAATGCATTTATGCATGTGTGTGAAGGAAATATAATTTTCTGTGAATGAATAAGATTGTCACTGAATTTTACCGCATGGAGTAAAACCTCTAAGCCCTGCCATATTATATCTGATTTTCTTTCAATAAATGAGTTGCTGATGGCATAGACATTGGGCTAAATTTGGTCTGTTCCTTTGAGATAATGGAAGCCAGACAAGCCAAGTAAATGTTCAGCTACTATCATCATGCTTAATTCTGGTGCTTAAACATCCATTTTAGGGGAAGTAACATTATATTACTTAAGCTCAGGGAGAAATTGAATCTCCCACTTGTAGTTGTAATTTTACATCTTTCTCTTCACTTTTAAATTTTACCCAATATTTTAAAATGGTTTGCATACTTTATTTTTGGTAATTTTGACATCTAATTACATTCCAAAACTTATTCTTCAAAATGCATTCTGTGACAAGTATTCTAAAGAGGGGCACATTTACAAGTGAGGGGCAGATAGGCTGTGCTACCCTATATTCTGATTGACTTTATTTGTCCAGGTTTTTCCTGCTTTTGATCTACTTCCTGTAACATATTTGTTTAATTAGGAAACACTTGTTAGAAGTCAATTGCTCGCATATTGTAATGCACCAAAAGCAAAGAATTAAGCATGTATATGTTGTAGTTACAATAATTAATATAAATAGAAATATAGGTCCTGTAGGATCTGTTTATGTATTGAACCATTCTGAGTGTTTAGTAATATATTATTCCCTCTGTCCCACATACCTAGAAGGCTAGACCACTCATTTTTCAACACCATTAATTATTATTAGTGTTAATCAGTTTGTTCCGGTTTTCTTTGAGGATAAGCTCCCTTTTCCAGAACTTTAATTAGAATTTATTTTGGTTGCTGTGACATTTTTAGGTAATTTTCCTTTCTGTTATATTTACACATCTATATATTATTTTGAATTATAATATGGTTTTATATTTGAGGTGAGATCTTACATTATGTTGCATTCATATGACAATTCTTCATATTATTTATCTATATTTTTGTTTGTTTTCTTCTTAAAAGTTCATAGAAGTTTCTCCGTTACAGTCTATCATATTGGTTATTGTGGTTGCTGTTGTACAGGGAGAAAATAATGACAACTCCAAGGAAAGAGAAGAAGAGAGAGGCTCGAAGAGAAGAGAAGGCTGAAAAAGCAGCTTTATTAGAGAAGGTTACATAGTTAATCCTAATGTTATTCATACAAATCAAGTAGTATATTGTTATCACTTTACTCATTGGTGCCTTTCAATATTTTAGTCTATCGAAAAAGAGCTATTGGAACGCCTTCAAAAAGGTGTTTATCAACAAAGTGATATATACAATTATCCTCTTGAAGAGTACAATAAAGTTCTTGATATGGAGAAACTTAAAGCTGCTGATGAAGAGGAGGATGAAGAGGTATGTGTTCACTTATCCATATTTTTGTTTGTTGTCAATTATGTTTACCAAAAAACTTTTTGGAATTAAAATTTTTAATGTGCCTAGTCTATTCAATTTGTTAATATTTTGTTTTTGGATGGAACAGGAACCAGAGATAGAGTATGTAGAAGGTTATGATGAACTAGAAGAGGAAGAAGACATGGAGGATTTTGGTGGTTTTGCAACTTTTAAGTCTCAGGGTGATTATGATGATGATGAAAATGGTAAAATTTAGTTTGGAAGTTTTGCAACATGCATTGAACATTTTTCACTTGTTAAAATATGGATGGCATTTTTTATTTATTATGAAACAGTGGATTGGGATGTGGTTCCCATTATTTTTTGTTTTAAATATTTGTTCCCTCAACAAGAAGGATTATGCTTTTGCCTGATTGAAGTTCTGATTCGAGGATTCTAACTAAGATGCATGATATGATGTAGTTTAGTGTGCATCATGTTATGCATGTTCTTCATTGAGCTGGGTACAAAATAATAGATAGATATGGTAGTATTATCTTACTTTAGTTTCAACTTCTGAGTGCCGAAAATTTTATATGAGAATTTTGTTGTCTGCATAATTTCTTGGTTAGTCATTTCTCATATTCCTAATTTCTTCTAGATTTGACGCTGTAATCAGATCTTCCAAGTCTTTTAATCGTTAATCATAAATTTATGGTAATTGTGAGGATAAAAGGAAAAATATGAAAAACAATGTTTACTGTTCTACAATGTACAATCATACATCTTCTAATTTCTTTCCTAAACAAAATAAACACATTATCAGTCACATACAATGCTGAATGCTGCCTGGCTAGTAATTGAAATGCTCAGTTGCATGCAATGACTTTGTTATGTGTTGATTATTTGTTACTTGTTGTTTGTTGTATTGTATGTGAATGCCTTCCATATTGAGAAGGAATCTTTGTTCATGAGTTTGGACAAAGTTTCAATGTTACATGTTCAAAAAGAAAAAAGCATTATAAATCTTATGAATGCAGATGGGAGTGCTGATGATGAGGAGGCAGAACCAGTTGATCAGAGTAGAGCTAAAAGGAAAATGGCTTTAGCTTCAAAGAGAGTTGAGAAGAAGGGCCTTGATTCTAAATCAAAGAAGCCAAGGGTCATTGTTGAGGTAATTATACAACATTTCCTTCAATGAAAACACAGTCGGTGCTTTTAAATGCTATTGGGTATTGTATTTCTATGAATTACTTTCTGCGAACAATCTTAACTTTGGGGAACTTTTGCATATCATATTTCCAATATTTATAATTGTGGACATTCAGTTATAATTTGAAAGCCATACCCATTGTTGTTTTCAAATAAATGATGCCATAGATTGCAATTTTTCAGTGCTCTGAACTGTCAAGATAGACTATGCTAGAAAGTGGAAACATTTTTGTTTTTTTTCCAAGATTGAAAATACAGCAATGCCCCTATTTTTTTGAAGATAGTTATTAACTAAGCTGTTGGATTTTGTTTAAAGGATTCTGAGTTCAAGGGATTATGTTAATTCCAAAAATTAAGGAGTGATTAGCTGTATATTTGTTATTATGAGGATATTTTTTCCCCTTTTTATAGGATCTGATTAGTAGCTAATGTTTAGGTTTTTTATTTCCTTTATCTCTCTGTTTTGCTTGACAGCAACCATCTGCCGTATAATGTAACTTGATTGTATACTATAGTGAAATATATACTGAAATTATCCCTCAAACTTTTTACAAAAGCCAATCCTCTGTTTACTTAAACAATATGTTATTTGTGCACGTGCTATCCATGTACTGATGTTGTAAATCAAATCCATGTCGATAATTTTCCTTCTTGCTTGAAATTTATTTAGATTTTGTTGTTTTGGGTTTACCAAAGCTACATTCCGAGAGATATATCAAATCACTATGCCAAACACATGTTGTAATCTTATGATTAATATTCTTTTGTTGGAAGAATAAGATGCACCTGGTAGTTTCATTCCATCTTTAACTTTTAAAAGTAGCTTTTGAAAAGCAAAAGCAATGCCAAAGTTATTGCATGAGTGCTATACAGTGTTGAATTAAAATACATTCCATATTAAGAGTAATTTTCTTCATTGTTGACATTGATAGAGTAGAGATGTTTGAAATACCTATAATATCTTTTAGGTTCAAGACCTGATATTGCAACCTCGATTTTCATTGTTTTCAGGTTGAGCGGGAGGATGCTGGTGAAAGACAGAGGGTGGTACAGTAGTTGCATTTGCTGTTACGGGTAGGAGAGAAAAATTTTGATTGTTGAGTCTTCTAATTTTTGTCCAGCTTTTACAATTATATATACTTCTCTTTTTTCCTTTTCAATTTATTTCTTGTTCTGAAGAAGGTAGTTCTGGCAAATGCCATAAAAATGTGGTCTAGGGTGATTACGATAGAGCCGGAGGCATCTCAATCCTGCATTGATTTAGCATTAAACTGCGACTGATAATTTTCTTGTGTCACGCGGCTCTGCCAGTTTATGGAGTCCATTGTAAGATTTTGAAAAAATTAAGCACTCCAATGTATTTTTAATTCAACTGATTTTCACTTGCATATATTTTGTTGACATCTGGCGTCCGCATAAAATAGGCATGCTCGTTTTATGTACGTAGACATTTGAATGGTGAATAAGGCTGTGGGAAAACTGAATGTACGTAGATATTATTCATCAAATGCACAAAACTGGTTTTGACTAAACTCTTGCACAAATTATTATTTTTGCACCAAGACGAAATAATTTGGCTTAATCAATGTGCAAGATGGTAGAACAGATAGCATGGATAAGGCATATCTCAAAATGGCAGAGCAGGTAAATGTGGAGACTAATCATGGTGGGAATGGGCCATCAAGATCTTCTTTGGATTTGGTTGAATAAAGTAATGAGTGAACGGGGCCATATTACCAACTACCTAGTTTGTGCTATTATCTTAATTGGAATATGTTATTAATGTTTAAAATTTAGATTATGATTTAGAGTACTATTTGATAAATTTCTCAATGAACATTTGTCAAAGAAAACAAATTTAAGTAAATATGGTAAAATTAATCAAATTTTCGTACAAGTGAAGATTAATTTATGTCAAGTTGGCTTAGTAATTTATGTCAAGTTCAAACCTTCACGTGCACATCGTTTTAAATGAGGATAGCCAGCAATACGATTTCTAATGCCCTTATTATTAATTGTTAAAATTGATTAAAAATTGTAAAATTATGAGATGTGTTTATTGTATAAAGTTAATAGAGTTGATATATTTTGTGTTTCTATTTTTGTAAAGATATTTAAAATTTATTAATATTTATTGAATTAATTGATATTAGATCTTCAAATATTAAGATTTTGAATTTATAAGAATAATTAATTTTTAATATATTTTTTATTATTTAAAGTTTAGATGTAAAACATTTCATAAATTATGTGCATGAAAATAAGGAATCATTTTTATATATAGATGTAGAGGGAAAATTCAAGATTTCACAATTTTTTTAATGAATTTTGTCCTATTAGTATCTATCAGTTTATTGTCGTGAGTTGATTTAAGTAGATATTGGCGGGAGTTTCTACAAGAGAATATTGCTTTTTTCCAACTAGAATAAACGTGTATATCATTACAAACAGAAAAAGTGTGAAGAATAATATATAGTTTTCGGTAACTTAAAACAAAATTATTGCCACTTCAAGATGTCTCCATATATCGTCAATAATTGAAGGTAATAATGGTTTTTATATTTTTACCTAATAAATTAAATAAAAGTGCAACCATGGAGCCTGAGGTTGCTATGATATTCTTATTTAATAATACACTAGATGATCGCATTATAAATGCACCCATGGAGAGTGAGATATTGCTATGACAAATCTAGCTTCTAGTTCAGGTAGTCAAATATGGAATTTGATAATGAAAACCATTCTGCCAAACTACTTAGAGCTCAAATCCACATTTTTAATCAAACTTTCGGCTTCATAAATTCTATGTCCCTTAAATGTGCAATGGATTTGTGCATTCCAGATATCATAAACAAGTATGGTCAACCCATGCCACTCTCACAACTCATTGCTTCACTACCTATCCACCCATCAAAAACTAGCTTCATCTACCGTTTGATGCGAATCTTGACTCATAATGGTTTCTTCTCTCAACACAATGTCATTGAAAATGAATTAGAAGTGAGTTATGCCCTAACTGATACATCTAGATTACTCCTTAAGGACCATCCCTTTAGTATGGCACCTTTGTCCCAAGTCATACTTGATCCAATTTTGATCAACCCATGGCTTCAATTTTCTACTTGGTTCACAAATAAAGACCCTACACCATTTCACACACAAAATGGGATGACATTTTGGGATTGTGCTAGCCGTGAGCCCAAACTTAATCACCTTTTTAATGATGGCATGACTTATGACACTCAATTGATTTCTAGTGTGGTGATTGAGAAGTGCAAGGGAGTGTTCGAAGGACTAGAGTCATTGGTTGATGTTGGGGGAGGAACAGGGACTATGGCCAAGGCTATTGCCAAGTCATTTCCACAACTAAAGTGCATTGTACTTGATCTACCACATGTTGTTGATGGCTTGCAAGGAACAGAGAACATCAAGTATGTTGAAGGAGACATGTTTGAAGCAATTCCTTCCACCGATTCCGTTATGTTGAAGGTATATATTATCTAAATATTAACTATCTTCTTGATTCTCTTGCTTTGCTACAAATGAGAAACAAAAAATGACAACTATATAGCCTTTAAATCACAATTAAAAAAAAATGTAAATGTTAAAAGTTAAAATCCAATTACAAAAATCTTCTGTGAAATCAATATTGTTGCTGCCACTACATCAAGTTAGGTTAAATAATTTTTTCGTTAATCAATTATTAGTAAGTTGGATAATGGGTATTCGATGAATCCGAATATTATCAACAATGCATGTTTGGTTTGAAGATGCTTTTTACTCTCAATGCAATTTTTTTTTACTGTGATCCGAGGACTATTATTAGAAATTTTCACACACGCGTGTGCATGCATGTTTGCACATAAACAAAATATTATTCTGACTAAATCGCAAATTAATTAATATTTATCGTGATTGATGTAATCAATTTGAATGACACGTAGTGCATAATGCATAACTGGAGCGACGAGGAATGCTTGAAAATACTAAAGAGATGCAAAGAGGCAATTGGTGGCAAAGAAAAAGGAAAGGTGATTATCGTAGACGTGGTGATAGGAAATGATGAGAAGGGAGATAGCAAGTTATTAGATCAAACGAAGCTCTTCTATGATATGGAGATGATGGTATTGGTTACTGGAAAAGAGAGAGATGAAAAAGAATGGGCAAAGTTGTTTTTCTCTGCAGGTTTCAGTAACTACAAGATAACTCCAGTTCTAGGTTTGAGGTCTCTCATAGAGGTTTATCCATAGTATCAACAAAGTGTGAAAAGATGGGTGCATGCTATGTGATCACTCAAATAATTTCTCTATTGATATTAAGTGTCTTCACATTCACCACAAGTCTTTAATCTTTTAATGTTTGTAATTACGTTCTTGATTTTTATTTAAATATTTGTAATCATGTTTCTGGATTTGATGGTTTGTAACTTATGTCCAGAGACTTGATAACAAAATTAAAAAAAAAATACGGACTTAGTTAAGAAAAAAACTCAAAAATCATTTGGCATGAAAATTGTGTGTATTAAAAAGTTCTTTTATTTTTAAAACAAATATAAGTAAAAATATAAACAAATAGAAAAGTTATAACAACTTATTCTTAAAACTAGATATCAAAATTGACTCCGTTGGATAGTTTGGTGTATTAATTAAACTAAATAAGGTTAGACAACTCAAATGTACATGACTAATTTTACCTTATTTGATGTATCAAACAATTCACGACGAATTGTTAAACTATTAGTTATTCAACCTATTTAGTTTGATATATATATTTTTTTTATAAAAATTTAAAATTTATACAAAATTAAAAAAAGGGGTCAATTTGGCTTAATTGTCAAGCTAGAAAGGACAAAAAAAGTTCATGACTTATATGAAAATCGGTCCTGCACGTACAGAGCAATTTTCAAACTTTGACATTTTGACAAGTCCACTGAAAACAAAACTTTATCCTTGAATGCCAATTAATCTTCTGTTTATTTTTTATAATTTGCTATAAATATGCGTCATGTATAAGGTGAGTCAACAATTTTTTAAGTTTTAGCTTATCATCGTTGAAGAGTTCAAAAGTTTGAAGTGATCAATTTGTGATTGTAATGGTAAAAATATTAACTTGTGATTGTTTTGACAATGTAATCAACTTGTGATTGTAATGGAAAATAGATCAATTTATGATTGTGATCATTTTGAAAAAGTGATTGGTTTGTGATCATAATGATTAAGAGATCAATTTGTGATTGTTAAAGATCTCGAAAGTTTGAAATAATCAATTTAGTGTCATTTCGGCAAAGTGATTAACTTGTGATCATAATGGTGAGAGATTAACTTGTAATCGTTGAAGAGCTCAAAATCTCGATCAACTTGGAATCTTGTGACCTGATGGTAGGTTCGAAAGCTTCGTAACCTTGAAAGTTGAATCCAATTTTTTTTGTTGTTGATTTTTTCCTACTTTCAATACCAAGTAGTGCCTATGTGGCTCAAATGTTCAAGTTGTTGAGTTGCAAATCTAGGTCTAATATCTAGATTCGAAGTAATTACAAGTAACATGAATTACAAGAACAACACCACCATCCTCCTTTTGAGTATAAATGATAATTTCTCAAGGAAATAGCTTGATAAATGGCCTAGCAAGACTTATGTGTTATGGGAAAGTGTTGGCCAGTATATATAATCAAATGTTCTTCTAGCAATTATGTTGCCTAATGGATCACACAAGTGTGACATTCTTGAAAGGAGTTGTATTTATAGGCTACAACTGAGAAAGATGCGTTGTTGTAAGGGTGTGACAAGTTTGCTGACAAGGAGGGTAATCTATCCTTCAAGCAGCTTTTGCTCCTTGCATAGAGGAGGGACTACTAGGTAAGTTTGGAGGTGTTGGAAAAGGCTGTGTCTGAGGAGTATGCATGTGATTTTCAAAAGATCGCTCAGAAAGTGGCATTTTTCTTTCCAAACATCCTTTGTAGGAAGTTGAATTCAATTTTGACATTGTTGAGGGGAAACTAATGAATGAAGCTAACCTTTCTAATGAGGGCGATACGAAAGATATGTCTAATATGTGGAATGATTTGTTTGTGGCTACTAAGGAGGCTAAAGTCTTTGAAGGGCTAGTTGGGAAGGCTCATTTTCTTGTGGAGATTGAGGGATTTGAAGTTTCAACTATTGTTGGGGGAGATATGGCTGTTGTTGATCCGTCTTCCGAGCAAGCGACAGATCATGGTGGCATTGCCACTAAAGGCACTAAGATAGCTTAGGGGTAGATGTGAGCTCTTTTTCATCTTGTATTTTCTTGTGTTTTTGTAATTGTTGTATGTGTTGATTGTGGTTTCGTTGCATGATGGATTTCTAGGTTATCATCCTCTATTGTACGATATTTTGGCGACGTCATTTAGTTTGTTTATTTGTTACATTGCGAGCGCGTGAGCTAAGGGAAAATGAAGATTACAAAGGTTGAGGTTGGCGAGTGTTACGAGCTGGTGAAGTTGCTTCATCCCTTGGATGTGAAGGCTATTCTTATGCTGTCAAGCGCTACTAATCTGGATCAAGTTTTAGGTGGTGAGTGCGATTGTCTTTGGTGGTCTTCCTTTTTTCTTTTGTTTGTGCTAGTTGTTGTACCATTTTTCTTAAATGGTGTTGGTTTCTTCACAAATTTGATGGGGAAAAGTATGTGGAAGCAATTGAAAACTAAGTTTAAGGTTGATGCTAAATTGATCGTCCATTTCCTATCTCAATTGTCAAAGGGGACCAGCTCAACAAGGGAAAATAGGTTTACTGGATCATTCGAGTAGAATTTATGGTCTGTTGTTGCAAAAAAAGTCCTAGGAGGAAAGTTCGTCTCAAGTGCAAGTGTTAAAGGATATTGGCATAACTTGGAAAATTGATAAACATGTTGCGATAGGGCTTGTTGGTGCTATAGACAAGGGAAAAGGGCCTATGGCTCCTCAAGGTTGGTGGGTTCAACAAGCCAACCTTGGTAGGGATTTAGATCATGCTGTGACGAAAGCAAGTGAAGGCTTTGTAGAGACCACCTCAGTGGGATGTGAGCATGCCATTTCTTTTCTGCTCCTAACCATAAGGGGAAGAGCAAAGATTGGATCATTTGTTGACTGACTCTAGGGCAAATTCCCTATGTAGCATAGGCAAGATGAGTTTCAACTTTTACCAACTCAACTGGCTAAGCGAATTCAATCGTCGCTTGGTGGAAAGTTCATGGTCGGTTGAAGGGTTGGATGCGACTAAAGTGATGTTGACTCGTTCACTGGTTGGTAGGTGTTAGGCTTAGGCACGCTGAGCTAACTCCTAGGTGTTTGCAACATACGTGGCGCATTAAAAGGCCATGGTTTCTTTTGTTACTATGTTGTGGGATGGAGAAGGGATGTGCAATCGTTGAAAGGATAATGCAGCTAAAGTTGTTGGGGAGAGGTCCTAAGCTCTAGGTACTTTTAATGCATTGGAAGGGAAACTTCAGGAGAAAGAGGAGTTAGAGCAACTCGCCATCAAGAGTGAAGAGATCAAGATGTTGAAGGTCAAGCTAAAGGCTTTCTATGTTGATAAATCCATGTCAGTGATGATGTGTGCCTACCTTAAAGGTGAGAAGAAAAGGCTATTAGAGGAGAAGGGAGTTCATTTTGTTGAAGTAGCTAAACTTGTTGCTGAGTGGGATGGCTTGCTTGTGGACCGTGGTAGGCTTGTTGATAAGGTAAGTGCTCTCACCCTTGAAAAGAGACAAGTTTTGGGTGAGAAGATTAGCAATGGAGGAGTCTACTATGAGGAGCACGTAAAAGGATTTTAGAAAGCTATTTGTCAGGTGGTATTTTTTGTGCCAAACTTCCTCTATGGTAAGTTGAATGTTGATTTTGATATTTTTAGAGGGGAGTTTTTGAAAGAAGCTAACATCCTTGATGAGGATGACGATGAGGAGACAAAGACCACTCTTAAGGGGCTAGTGGTAGTGGTCAAGGCTGAGGTGGCCAATAAGGTTGTTAAATTGAAAGAAGAGACTTTTGTGCCTGGGGTGAGTGTCCAAGTTGTCGTAGTGAGGGAAACCATTAAGGTTTGTTGTTGAGGGTGGTTGTGTCCAGCCCGCTACCGAGTAGATTGTGGTTGAAGTCCTTGTTGTTGATGGAGTTTTGGTAACCGATGTCTTGTCTAATCCAACGCTAAGTGAAAATGGTTTCAATTTTGAAACCACTGCAAAGAACATGGATGATGAAATGATTGAAAATTTTCTTGCTGATGTGCCTTATGTATAAACTCCTCTTTTTTTGTGTGATTTTTGGTGTAGTGTGTTGTTAAATAGTGTGTTTGAATTGGTTCTTAAGACATATTGTCTATGTTTGTTTGCATATATAGTTTTATTAATTTTGTGATGTAGTTGTGGTGTTTGGAAACTTGCAATCATGAGGGGTTGGCACCTAATGTTATTCCAAAATTTGTAGTTGCGATCTTGAGTGATAGCTCAAAAGTTCGTGATTGTGAAGGCATAAGAGTTCGAAAGCTCAAAATCGCACACGAACTTGAAAGTTTGTGGTCGTTGAGATGTGAGAGCTTGTAAACTCAAAATGTGCACAAACACAAAAGTTCATGATGGAGAAGGCACAAAAGCTCAAAAGATCAAAATTGCACACAAACTTAAAAGTTTGTGGTCATTGAGGTGCAAGAGTTTCAAAGCTGAAAATCATGCACGAACCCAAAAGTTCATGAACATGAAAAGGTTAAATTTTGCAAGCTCAAAATCATTCATGAATTCAAAAGTTTGTGATTATGAATGTGCAAGAGCTCAAAAGCTCAAAATTGCCCACGAATTCAAAAGTTCATGATTATTGAGGCACGAGAACTAAAAAAAAAGCTTAAGATCATTCATGAACCCGAAAGTTCATGATCATCAACATGGAGAAACTTACAAGTTTGATTCATATTAAATTTATAAAAAAAATATATATATATATATATATATATATATTTCAATTTTAAATTTATAAATAGTACAACCATTTTGATTAATCTTACATTGATATTATCAATCACACTATTTCTTTGTTTGACGTGCGAGGGAGGAATTTAAGAAAGAAAGATTTAGGAAAAATTGTTACTATTTCCTTTATTTATTTAGAGGAGAATTAAGAGGGAAAGGTTCATAAAATTCGTCAACCCCACCATTTTAAATTCATGTAGTCCTTTGGTTAATTTGGAACATAAAACAGAGTGATTGGTAGACGTTATCCTTTATTTTGTCCATTACTAACTACATCCCACAGGATAGAGGCAGAAATAGTTGAGACGAGGTCAAATAAAAATTAAAGTTAATCTAATAAATTTATCAAAATTTAATTTTATATAATGTTAATATAAATATATTTTCAAACATTTTTGAAGAATATAAGTTTATATAAGAGAAAAATAATTTTTTTTCCAAAAT